TCAGGGTTCGAAAGAAAGAAAGGAAGAGAGTGAGAGAGAAATAATAGATGCTGAACCTCAGTGGCAAATGAAAACAGGGTACACCTCACTGGTGCCACAAGCAAAATTTAGTCAGACAATGCATTTTCTTTTGTCAGAAAGAGCATCCACCTACTTCAAATCAATAAATAGATACCAGAATAGAAAGCAAACAGTTTTATGGGATTCTGCTGTTTTAATTCCTGCAGGTTAACCCTGAAATCGTCTCTCTAATCAATATACCAAGACGTGAATATTTCTCTAAAATCTACACAGTGCACGTGCCTCCCTTGTGCCCATTACTCGATTTCGCAAGACGTCCGTGATCCAAATGGCAATAGGGGAGAAGGCCAGATCAACGCAGGCCTGCAAGCTGCATACAGCCTCAAAGGCATTCATTGCACGCCCGCAACACTACCTAGGCACGTATTCCATATTCACATACCTCTAGCTAATAACTCTAGATCAAATGCGACCTCCTCTCGCTTCAAGGGCTCCATCTTAACTCGTGAAAGTTGCACAAGCTAAACCACAAGGTCACGCAGTCTAAACCATTAATGACTACCGTAAAATACCAGGGAAGCGCCCAACACACTGTCACTGAAAACTGGGTTAATCTAGCTGGACATGGACACTTGTCTGGTCAAATCGGCAAAAACCAAGATGGCACCCATAAAGAGCTTTGAAGGCAGGGTGAACAAAATCAGAGAAAGCACATTTATTTTCACGATATCCCCATCATTGCCGCTGGCAGTCTGCCGCTGCAACTGGGTGAATATTTTTATCTGATGCCAGTGCTTTGAAAGGGGTAGGCGCTTAAAGAACCCCCAAATATAAAAATAAATGTCATTTTTTCAATAGTTTAGCTGGACACGCGCGTGTGAAGAAAATTAATTTTACGCAAAAAAAAAACAAGTTTTTAGAGCAATATTGACGGCGAAGATATATTTGAAATTCTGCGTGCAAAGCCTATGACATCATGACATGGTCATTCGCTAAACGAGATGGTCATTCGCTCTTTCCACCTCAACGTGAAGGCGAAGACGATCCACCTCTCCTTCATGCGCACGAATTGCCAAGAGAGGAAACAAGTGGAAAGGCCACGGCTACCAACTAAATCGCGTCTCGCGTCGTCAATATTGCTCTAAAATTTTTTTTTTAAATTGATTTATTTACATACGTGTTCCAACCAGACTGTTTAAAGAAAAAAAGCATTTTTTTTCTCTTCAGGGTTTTTTTAACGTATAATCTGCAGAATTCCCATGTTTGGGAAATATTAACAGTGGGCAGTTGTATGAAGTGGGAGCTTCCAGGGCAATTTACGCCAATTTTAATGATTTTTCTTTGCCTAAGTGGTACAGCATTTGGGGGTGTCTGCTGTTGTATTTTTGCTGAAGCGAACGAAGTCAAATGGAAACCGGAGGACCAAGATGGAGGAGGACGTCATTACCTTGACTGTCCCAAGTTTTCCTTAAAAATCATATTTTTAGTTACTATTCAAAACACCGAAAATTAAGGCTTTCTTTTTTCTTTTTTTTTTTTCAACAAAGCTGCACTTTAGAGGTTATATTTCTTCTTTAAATATTCTGAGTCCTGCGTCATAGTTGCACTTGAGCGAGTGGAGCCGCTAATATATATATACAGGCTGTTTCTTTTTAGGCTTCACATATTTGTTCTAAGAAAGCAGTAAAAGCTCCACTAATGCGGCCTGTCCAGGTGAGTTATACGGACAGGGGGACATAATATAGGGGGCTAATCGTCACGATAAGTCATATAATTAACTACAATTTGTTGTTTACTTCTTAATTAGTGAAAATATGCCTATTGTTCCAATATGAAACTTGCTGAACGTCATCAAAAACCACTAAACCAATAAATTATGAAAAGACTGAGCACGTGGAAAGCATAGTACTGTGCTAAAGTTACCTCTGGTGCAACAGGCACAAGGATGGCGCTGAGAAAAGGCAGACGATAAGAGGCAGAATCAACTATGCTGTTGTCTAATTAAGCAATAGGCTGCAGACATAATTGGAGGCGCCACGGCCGGTCACGTATCAATTTTCAAACAACACATGACTTGGTGATGTCAGATGACTCAATGTCACATGACCTCAACACCAATTCAGTTTCTCCGCTAAATTTAGTGGTGAAAATAACGTCACATGGCTCAATGTTACATGACGTACATACAAATTCAGTTTACTTTCTAGATGTAGTGAGGAAACTGGATTGGTGTTGATGTCACATGACGTCGATTTTTCCACAGAATTTAGCGGGGAAACTGAATTTGTGTATAGGTCACCTGACATCAAGCCATGTGACATCTTCTCTGGGAAACTGGATTTGTGTTGAGGTCATGCGGCGTCTATTTTCCCATTAAATCTAGAGGGGAAACTGAATTTGTGTTCAGGTCACGTGACATGAAGCTATGTGACGTCACTTTCCTTGATAAATTTAAGAGGGAAACTGAATAGGTCTTGAAGTCCCGTGGTAAATTTTCGCGCTAAATCTAATGCGGGAAACTGAATTTCTGTACAGGTCATGGACATTGTGTCACGTGACATTAATGTTTTCACTATATTTAGAGAGGAAACCGAATTTCTGTATGGGTCACATGACACGGTCATGTGACCTCATTTTGCCGCTAAATTTAGCAGAGAAACTGAATTGGTGTTGAGGTCATGTGACATCAATTTTCCCACTAAATCTAGCGGGGAAACTGAATTTGTGTATAGATCACGTGACATCAAATCATGTGACGTCATTTTCTCCGCTAAATTTAGGGGGGAAACTGAATTGGTCTTGAAGTCATATGATGTCAATTTTCCTGCTAAATCCAGCAGGAAAACAGAATATATAGCCAGAGACATACCTCAAAGTGGCCTGAAGATCCTAAGAAAGCTAATCACTTTAAGAACCGCGCTCCATTGTGCTTCTCACATGCTACATAGTCTCTAAAATTTAGATATTGAGTGGTTTTCAATGATTCTCAACAAGTTTCTAATTGAACCCATATGTTAATCAACATGTTTTGGTTAATTAACCGTATTACCACGACAATCAGCCGTCTATATTATGTTCCCTGGCCGTATAACTTACCTCAAACAGTATTAGTGTGGCTTCTTTTTTTTAAAGAAATCTCTAAAGCCTAGTAAGGAAAAAAAACACCCCATATATATATATATATATATATCGTAAAAAGGAGGTAAATGCTTTAAAACATATTTATTGGACGACATTATATCTATGCCTTGTCAAAGGACATCTCAACTAACATGGGAGTCGAAATGTGTCCTGAGAAGTTGAAAGCATTTAATGAGCTTTGAAAGGAGGAAACAAATTGCCAAAGGACCAAAGATTAAATGACAGTAATAGTAACAGTAATACTTATTTTGGTCTATGACAGCCACGGCACTGCAGAGAGGCGAGTGGTCCATACCGTAAAGGACTGCAGTGCCTCATCTAAGAATGGTGTGATGAGGGTCACATCATCCAATGATGATATGATGAAATAGTGTGTGACGTGATGGAATGAGATAAAATCCATTTAGAGTGATGGCCCTCCTGAATATGACCATAATTAAAAGCTTGGCATCAAACTGTAATGACCCAGTATTAGTTATTACCTTGTCAGAATCACCTAGTCGAAGTTAGGAGCTTCCCAACTAAGCTCTTAAAGATTTTGTTTATTTCTTTTTTTCTCCAAATTGACGCTCATAAATGCAGCTGAAAGAAGAAAAAAAAAAAAGACAATAGCGAACGATAGGAAGCTAGGAAAAAAAAAAAAAGGCAAACGATAATAAAATTGCCAGGCTGCTCATGAAGCATGGAAACGCTCTGAGGCCATAGAAAACGAATTACAGATTCTTTCGAAGGTATACTCATTTATGAGCATGAACTGCACTAGCAGAAAAGCTGATCGGGAACAAAAGCCCCGATGAGCGCTAGAGCGATTGCGTTTACGCAGATGGCGTTATTCTGCTTCGGTTAGGTCACGAACAAAAGAAGACGAAACACGCTGGACGGACACATGCCCATCTCTCCGCCAACAGATTCGATATTTTACGAATGCGCAGTTTTCTTCAGATTCGGAACGCAATCGTTGTATAAATAAACAACAACGCAGAAATATATTGAAACGTTGGCTTTGGGACAGCTACATTCTGATCTATGTATCGTTTACTTGTTTCTTCTTTTCATATACTGCAGGACGAATTAAAAAAAAAAAAAGTATTTTTGATTACGTGTACGGTTTGTGTACGGCCAGAGGCACCGGTACGGCGTGAGACACGCAGATGTTTCTGTTTTGTTTTATAAAAAGACATAACTGAGACACTCCGGACATCATGAACTCGCAAACAGAGCGATCGCCAGCGCGGAATCCTCGCACAGACATGTTACTAACGTGGACACCTTTAACCTTGTAACTCCGAGAGAAAGAGAAAACACTAAAAATAGTATTAAAATGACATTGCTGCGTAGCAACATGTTGAAAATGCTTGAGCCTTTGGCATTTCAAGTCAACCGGATCAGAAACAAATCTCATCACAGAACTTTTTTTTTTTTTTTTGCCCGTTAAATTGCGGACAAAAGAAAAATAGAAGGACAACCGATTCTAAGAGTTTATCGGATCCGTATCTGCTTGGCTGTGTCGTGTAAATATGTTTCAAACAAAACACTGGTAAAACGACAGGGTCTGCATCAGTAAAACCGCTGCCGCCGATGTGTACGCGCGAGCCCAAAGCCATCGATTCGAGTTTAGGGGCCACGGGCCGTCACCCGAGCGCTGTGCTAAACATCGTGGGGGGTGTCCCAGTGTCCTCCAATGCCACCGATATTGGCGAATTTCGATCCACGGCCGCGAAAACGTCGGCTGTTTCCAGGTGCCCGCAGATCGGAGGGGGTCCTGTGCGCGTGAGCGAGCTCGCGGTCATACCGACCCGGCCAAACGCCCCGAGAGCGAAATGAACTGCCCTACTCACACGGTAGGCCTCCACAGGGTACGAGGACGGTTCCGGACTACATTGCCCGAGGTAAGGCGTCCGATTTCAGCTCATTTTTGCTGGACATTTAGAGCGCAGTTCGGGTTTAAATCACGCACAAAAATCGAATCTGCACCACGTTGCGGAAGTTGTTGGTAAACACATTGGCTGCAGCCCGTTTCGTATCTGTCGTGTTTTACTCAACACAAAATACCAACTATAAGCGAATGATATATCTAGACATTAACGTTTACTGACCGTAAACAAATTATGTTATTTCATTATTAAATTATATATTTCAGCTTAAGCAGAAATACGGAAGTTTCGAAACCGAAACTGACGGGCTCGTCGTGTCGTCGTGCAGTTGTGCTAATTTTGAGTTGTGCTCAAGCTAGGGAGGCTCTAGCTCAAGCTCGTGAATCTGGCTGGTTTTTCAGCAGCAATGATTCAAAAAAAGAAGAAAGACTGACGTGGGTGGACGTGAGGCAGGGGATATTGCGTGCCTGAGCCAGATCCGGTTTCAGACTAAATAATAAGTTACGAATAGGAAAATAAATAAATAGATAAAGATCGAAAGATACAGCTGTGAAGTCGATTAAACGCAAGCTATTTGTCCAGTGGGCTCTTTGCAAACGCGCCAGAAATGTTAAAAAGTAGAGTAAAGCTATACGCACTACGTAGTGCACTTCGGCTGGAAATGGCTATACGCACTACGCGGAGAGCTCATGCCATTTGGGTCACCCTTTCCGAACGGCGCGTGTATCACTGGGGAGCTCGTTAAAGGGACGATGAAGACGATTTTATTTAATTTTTTTTAAATGGTGTTTTTATGCTTTTTCCCATATCCCAGTTAACAGTCTACAGCAATTGCCTTGCCGCAATCAACCCTTAGTGGGCCAGAAAGCGTGGTCTTAGCAAGCTCATTGTAAAGGCCCGTTCACACTCTTGCGACCGAGTACGACCGAGAGAGACCAAACCGGTTTTTAAGCCTCTTGCGATCTCTTAGGACCAGCTCCGCTGCATCGCATCCGGTCTTAAGAAGTCGCAAAAGGCTTAAAAACCGGTCTGGTCTTTCTCGGTCGTACTCGGTTGCAAGAGTGTGAACGGGCCTTAACCATTAGTTTTATACGAGTTTCGCATAGTGCGTGTAGTCATTTCCGGCCGAAGTGCACTACAGAGTGCGCATAGCTTTACTCTTGAAAATATGTATAGGGTGACCCAATTAGTCACCAGGCTCTATCCAAAATGGACTGTAAAAATCAACACCTGCACGTGTATGCAATCGAAACTTTTCGTCAAAGCTGTATTTGACCAGGTCGGTTTTTCTTGTAAAATTACAAAGCGTAGTTCTCTTACTGTAATAAATAGGGCCAAGAAACTTGACAGGGTCTACCTGTCAATCCTCAGTACTAAGACACTAACAGGGGGCTCTGGCTATACTTGAAAAGAGGATTGACAAGATTATAAGCATGACAAGCAATACGATGAAAGCAAAACACAAACAGGGGACACAGACAGACATATCTGTCTCTGCCCCCTATTTGTGTCTTCTGAGGATTGACAGGTTCATGTTTTTGCTCACGCAGGACGAGTAGGCGCTCCCCTACACCCCAGAAGCGCCTAAATTTCTTAAAGGGATACTTCAACGAAAGTTGAGATATACCCGTTGTGTTCAGAAATAGGCTGAATATGGTTCACAACAGGGCCGTAAGCAGGGGGGGGGTAGGGGGTTCTGACCCCCCTCGAAATTTTTTTCTGGGTACGGCCCTGGTCGGTGCACTGGCAGCCAGCCGATTTTAATCTCCACCTCTGCGCACGCGCAGGGGCGCCGGTCGGCTACCGGGTACCAAACCGGGACCGGTTCTCCGGTTTGCTGTAGCTCTCCATTATATGCCACCGATGCACATGATTCATAGGCGAAATAAGACAATAGACACTTTCAAAATGGCCGCCGTTGTCCCCGAAAACCCCCCCGAAATTTTTTTCTGGGTACGGCCCTGGTTCACAATATCCGTAAATGACAATTGCACATTTGTATTTTGAGCCTGGTGGCTGTATTTTTCGTCATAAATGGCCCACTCTGGCAAATGCTCGGAGAGCAGCCAGCGGAGAGCATGTACGTCACATTTGCCGCAATCGTGACACTGATTGTCTCAGGACCTTACGCCCGGACGCAGTGGACGCCTGCGAGCTATCCCAGCCAATCCCACTCTGTGAACGTAGCCCGTAATAAAAATTTCCGCACGTCGCTGTGTTCCCTCTCCGAAGTCGCGCGACATTCACACGGCCTTGGATAGGCCCTGATGGCTTGTAGCATCTGCTGAAAGCAGCCGAAGCACACCAGCGATCGAGTCACCGCAAGTAACCCCAAAGCTGCGTTTGTATGAATTTTGAGTGACGGGTTAATAGAGGGACAGTGACTTCTGGGACACACAAAAGAGAGTCTCGGGGAGAGGGGATGTTCCTCCTTCAGCTGCAATCTCCCATCGTGTCAAGAGGCGAGACAGTTATCATCACTACCTGTCAAGGTTCCTAGACCGGCATTACAAACGAGGCGTTAGCGACATCTACCAGGTGCTCTTTGCTAATTGCTTGATTTGTTTTAAAATTCCTTTTCGTGTCTTTTTCAACAAGAGATTGGTATGTCTGATGTGATGTAATGCTCCCTTGAACACGAATACACCAAGAAATAAGTGTCCAAATTTCGTCGTAGTATCCCTTTAATTAAGCCGCTCGTTCCCTGCCCCTGTCCCTCCCCCACCTCCAGCTTCCAAGCCAACACCCTGCTTCCAAGAAAGTGTTAGACACACCCTGAGCACTCGTCCGATAAATGGATAAGTGAGGCTGCATAATTTGTCCTTCTTAGTTTGTGTCCTTGTGGGGGTCATTTGGGAAGGAATGGCCGTGGAAGGGTTTAGTCTGACGGGGCCTGAATCAAGTCTGTTCGGTGTTTATCTCTGCATTTTAAAGCTGAGAACTTATGTCTGGTGGTGGGTTACTGAGCTACCCAGTGAGTGCAATGGTGACGGTTTAGCACTTATCGGCATAGAGCGAACGAGGAAGGGTCTGTCGTCTGGAGATATTTATAAAGGTCGCAGAAAATGAACTTTGCAGCAGTGTTCAAAACTTAACTCTTTTGTCCTTTTTTTTCTGTTTCTACATTTTTCTTTTGCCTGTTCTCTCTACCGATGGACCCGGTGGCACCTGGACGGTGGCTCACGGAGCTGTCGGCGTGGTCGTTTGGGACATCTACGACTCAAAAGTGTATCTTTAGTCGTGAGTTTGGCTATCATTATAGACTAAGATGATGGACATCCTGCCTCAGTTGTCACTAAAACACGGCACAACCTCCGCCCACGAAATTCCAGAAAAAAAATACTATTACAAAATAAAGTAAAGTGTCAGTAAACCATGGACGACACGGCTGCTCCAAGAAAATGGGGGGGGAAAAAAAAGCCGGCACCTGGGGCTTTTTTTCAGGGAGATCTCTTCTCTTCCCCTGCTTACACATTTTTGAAAAACCGGAGACGACGGACGACGAAAAAGGGGACAACACACAAAACGTCCCAAACGCAGCTACTAAACTTTATTAACACAGTCGTTTATGTACCATCTCTCCCACACGTCTACGGAACTGCGCACGCCACTGGGACTTTTAGCCAGGGTACATCTCGTCTTGACCTCATTTCAAAACACTGCATTCAGTTCGTACACAGCATCGCATACAAAGCCCCATTGTCACAACCCCCAATGTCGAACCCAACGCACCACACCTTCGCACAAGCACCAAGGCCTAACCCAGATCTCGTACAAAGGCCCCACACTAAAACTAATAAACCGATGCAGAAAAAAAAATATATATATATATACAGCAACACAAACTTTCGGGTTGCTTCGTGTAGTGTGATTGCATTTCAAAACCTCCAAACTCTCTTTGTACACAGCATTGCAAACAAAGCCCCATTGTCAAAACCCCCAACATCGGACGCAGCGCACAACACCTCCACAGATACTCCAAAGCCTAATCTCTTAGTTGTTTTCTTAGGGTCCTCCCATACTGCACTCACGTGTTGGCCATGCGGGGGAATGCGCTGCGCACTGTTTTTGTCCACCCAGCTAGCCGACTTTTTCGTTTGGCTTCTATTGAGCAGTGACTTTCCCAAAGAACACGAGGTTTTCTTCTAGCTTTCTTTTTCTTTCTTGCAGCTGCGCTTTTGGCGGTCTGAGCAACCACGAGGGTCGGGTAATTGCTTCCGTGGGGAGAGCCGAAGTGCGAGGCGGGGAGATGGTCTGCGCGAGAAGAAAGCCCTTCTTGAACGAGGGACTGCATGTAGTAAGTTGAGGGATTGAAGTATTCCAGCTCCCAAGGCAAGAAAAGGCCTTAGCAGGTGACGCAGGTTGTTCAAGGAGAAATCGCACTGCAGTATCTGTTGAGGCACCGCTATCACGATGGTCGTCGGAGACATCAAAGAATCGTGGTGTTCTCACCTGTATTTCTGTGTGGTTTTTGAAAGAGCATTTGGTTCTTGGCAAGCCAGCTTGCTATGCTCAGGCGGGCACCTTATACACTCGGACAGTCTTACCCCCTTTTTAAAGACAACCAAAAAACAGATAGGAAACATGCTGAAATAAAAAAGGGCATCGCCACTGAATGTTTACCACCTAGGATGACCACGTCCACCAATGGTAAACTTTCTTTTTTCGTTTTTTTTAATTTTCAAGAATGTTTTGGTAGAACTATTTACAAGAACGGAGCTGTGGCGAGAAATTTCACAGGAATGCGTTCACAATTAAAACACACCTTTGTAGAAAATGTGAATTTTCTACGTGCAGGCACCAGATTTTCTACTGCATTTTCCAGTTGCATCAATCTACGGCGTCAATGTAAAATTTTTACATCGACACCATAGATCAATGCGACTACCACTACTACTATTGGATCAGACTGCGTCAACATTTCATTGCTTCGTGACAGGAATTTTGAATGAATGTATGGACACATGTACCAGTGGCGTAGCCAGAAAATATTTTTGGTGGGCGTTTCAAAATGATGGTGCAATTACACAAAATACAAAAAAATAATAAAAACTATATATAATATATATATATATGTATATATATATATATATATAATAAAGTAAAATTACGACGGGTGTTCCCACACCTGAACGTCCCCCCTGCCTAAGCGCCTGACACATACGGTATAGGTAGTGATAATAACCCTTCTATATAAACAGTAAAATATTTGTAATGGTTTTTATTTTTTCACTCCCCCCTTTATTTCCACCGCTAGCCCCCCCTCCCCATAAAATACACTTCTGGGGTCTCTGACTGAAAACAATGCGGTAGAAAGAATTCCTGCAAATTTAAATTACAATTTATTTAACAACTTTTTATTGGGTAAACCCGGGCACAGTACAAGAACAGCTTCTTTATTGTCAGTTTATTTTGTGTTCTTATTTATAGGACGTTACGTAACTGACAAAGTCAACGGTAGAAAGAAAGCTCAATGTTCTGATTTGCTCGTGTTCAGCCTGATATAAATCCTTCTTGCTTGACGATTCCTTGATTTTAATACAAAACAAATGCACATAGAAAGTGTCAAATGATAGACAAACGGTAACTAAAAGTTTTTCTGGAATTATTTCTGCGGAGGTTTGATTTAAAGGGAAGCTACGGAGCTTCTTGAAAAAAATGAGTTAGAAGTGAATTCTAGTGTATTTTTACCTCGTGAACCCGAATACTAAAACCATTTGCCGTGGAAGTATTGTTAAACGCGAGAAAAACGCGAAAGATAGTCGCTGTCCGTGACGTCATCGACGGATCTTTTGGCTTGCCAAGGCTAGGGAGGCGGGGTTTCAGCCTTATTTTCAAATTGCTCTTATGACTCTCCGGCGCGTCGCATTGAAATATAATTGTGATATCTGTTATTCTAAAGGCCAAATGAATGCAATTCAAGCGTTTTTTCTCAAATGTAGAAGTGCCCCATCTTCCCTTTAAAGGGATACCTCAGCGAAATTTGAAATATGCCTGTCGTGTTCAGAAATAGGTTGAATATGATCCACAATATCCATAAATGACAATCACACGTTTGTATTTTGAGCCTGACGGCTCTATTTTTCGTTATAAATGGCCCACTCTGGCAAACAATCGGAGGGCAGCCAGCGGAGAGCACGTCACATCCGCCGCAACCGTGACGTAGTTTGTCTCGGGACCTTACGTCCGGACGCAGCGGACGCTGTGAGCTATCTCAGTCAATCCCGCTCTGTGGACGTAGCCCGTGATACGCTTTCTGCGCGTCGCTGGCAGGGGGGTAAAGGTGGGTGAGGAGCAGTGGCAAATCCCGTGCGCCGACATCCGGAGTCCCTAGTGAAAGATTGCGAAAGAGAGTGACACAACGCGAGAGAAAGAAACCAATGTTGCCAGCTGAAGGACGACAGTCGCAATGGTAATCGCGAAGACCGAAAACTCTCAGCAATATAAACAGTGATAATTTAACGTTGTAAACTAAATTCTGAGCTATTCTAGCGCTTATAAAACGCAATATACTCATTACGCTGCATTAACTTCTCTTCTGTCGAAATTTCGGAAATCTGGTGGTTGAGCGGTTTCGTATTCCCTACCAACGAAGCCGCTTATTTGGTTTAGCTTTGCCTTGACGCGAGGCCGTACACCTGCGTGTTATGCAAAAAGAAAGCTTCGAAAGGAATGCGAATATTTTTTCACCGGTAAGTATGTGGATTGTTGAACTTCACGAGACTGCTCTGATGATATAATTATGTTCGCGAAATCGAAGGCAGTTGGTAACCATGTGTGGGACCCCGAAGGTCTTTCTTTATGCTCCGCTGCTTGCGGCAGCCAGAATGCATGGGAAAATGGCGGACCTTTTCCTCCAGAGTTAGTATACATGATCTCTATGGTCGCTGTGCCCCTTCTTCAAGGCCACGTGACATTCACACTGCCTTGCGTAGGCCCCGATGGCTCGTAGCATTCGCTGAAAGCAGCCGAAGCACAAAAGCAATCGGGCCACTGCAAGTAACCCCAAAGCTGCCTTTGTATGAATTTTGAGTGACGGGTTAATCTTCTACAACTTGTCGAGGGACAATAGCGACCTCTGGCCGCAGGCGAGACAGTTATCGTCACTATCCGTCAAGGTTCTTAGACAGGCATAACAAACGAGGCATTAGCGAGAACCACCGGGTGCTCTTTGCTAATCGTTTAATATGGTTTAAAATTCCTTTTTGTGTCTTTTTTAAGAAGAGATTGGTGTGTCTGATTTGATAATGCTCCCTTGAACATGAATTGACCAAGAAATAAGCGTCGAAATTTCGTTGTAGTATCCATTTAAATCATCATAGTAAAACTGGCTCGATTTAAATAATCTTATTTTTATTCTCCACCCTGCTTTACACACACTTGACGGTGTTATTAATTAATGTGATTGTTCCAAGTGAAGAAAGTTCCAAGTGAAGAAAGTGAGTTTTTTTACCGGCAGCTGTCAGATGATTTCAGACAGTCAATGGGAGGCGACCGCCGGCAGAATTTCGAGAGATTCCTCCAGTTTGACGGAAAGTACATTTGTTCTGACTGATCGAAAACAAACTAAAGCCCAAAAAGAAGCCTTTGAGATAAATAAATAAAACGCTCTATTCGAGCCTTCGCTCCCCGTCCTGCGACAAGACTGCCTCGAGAGTCGCCTTGACGTGGTCCCTGATCATCGTCGCCGAGACAGCATCGGCGTACTCGAGCATCTTGCGCAGTACGAAGACCGCCCGCCGCCGGCACCAGCGACGCTTCAGTGGCAGGTATACGTTCCGATAGGCCTCCGCCTGCACTCCCCTGAACAGAGCCTCTTCGTTGAGGTTGTCGAGGGCGCGCAACGGCTCCAGCACCAGCGTGAAACCCGCTCTTGTCCATAAAGGCTTGCCGGCGAAGAAAAGCCGGCGCCCCAGCTCCGCTAGACCGTCTTCCTCGCATTCGGTCGTGCCTCGAAGGACCGTCCTCTCAGGAAGCACAGCATCCATCACAGCAAAAAGGTCTTCGGATTGCGACCAGCAATCGTCCGCGATCGCCGAAGGCAAGTAGCAACGGACCACACTGGTGTCGTCGTCGAGGTATACAGACCAGCCCATTGGGTCGCCCTCGAAGGCCCTCGCGTGCAGAGAGGCCACGCCGGCGATCCGGTCCACCGGTAAACCGCAATAGAACGGGGTGTCCGGCGGGAGCCCCGACAATGCATCACTCCGGCGAACGCCCGCCGTGGCTGTCCGAGACAGTTCCCGAAGGTCGGCCAAGTTGAGGAGCCACAGATGGCTGCCCGAATTGAAGAAGATGCCGGGGAGTGGGGGCTGTTCGGTGTGCTCCGGCGGAGCGTCGACGTACGGGCGCTGCACCTCGTGGGCTTCGTCGCACGAGTACGGGTACAAGCGTTCGGAGGAACTGTCCACCCCCGAGACGGGAGTGACGGGGACTCCGTGCCACAGGTCGTCTTCAGTGCCGCGGTCGTACGTTGCCTCTTCTGCGGCCACCGAGAACTCGAAGAACTGCTCGTTCATCATGTCGGATGTATTCAACCTGTGAAACGGGCGGCAAGAAGCGTCGGAACTGGGGGAAATTTGTAAATTTATATTGAGCGCCTTTTCGCGCGAGAGCATGGTCGCTTGGTACCATAGGTAAACAAAATGTAAAATACATTCATGACGTTTGCATTTATAGCGATGATGATAGCTGCAAAATCTTCAAAGACTGGCCAGTATGTATGATCTCTGTGAGACTGGCGCCCCTCTGAAAAACAATTAATTAATATACCGTACCTTTTTATACTAAACGTGCTAAAAAAATGTCTACTCTATTAAAAACATTAAATACCAAATAAATTGTTTTGCTTTCTTTTTTTTTATAACTCCAAAGTTTGGATTTTGAAATCGGATTCAATTTGTTTCGTCTAGGGATGTCGCGAACCACCCCAAGTTCGATTTAGAAAAATTTCGATATTTTCGTACCAACCGAGGTTCGAATTCGAAAAATTCGCAACTTTCGATCATAGTGGAGTTTCGAATTCAAAAATTTAGAAGCTTTCACGGTTTCTAAAATTTCGGATTAGAATATTTCGAATATTTTTTTTTACTTCAGGTTCGATACATTCGAAGATTTCGAAATTCTTTGGAAATAAAATCGAAAACTTCGAACGCTTCGAATTTTTATAGACACGAAGTTCGTACAATTCGAAGATTTCGAGTTTTCTTTCTGCATGAAGTTCGAAAAGGTCGAAGGATTCGATTCTCTTTTAACGCTAAATTCGAAAAAAAAAAAAAAAAAAAAAAAAACTTGGTAGATTTTTAGTTTCTTTCTAGTCCAAGTTTTTGAAGTTCGAAGTCCAGTTTTCAAGTTCCTCCACAGTTTGTTTCAAATAACGTATTCACGACTCACTGGTTTTCACAAAATCAAGTTTAGAAAAGTTAGGGTGTGATATCTAGATTCTGCGAAGTTGGTCAGGCAATTAAATGAGACGACGAGTGTCCCGGATGTGCCGGAATATTTGCCAGTGCAGAGTGACGTGTGACCATGGATCAGTAATGGACCTTTTCCACATGCCGACGGCACCAGACGGTGGCTGCACGAACTAAAAATCGATACCAATCGATAATGGGAGCTACGCTACCAGTTTCTTCGCTCTCTGAGCAGCGGCGCGAACCGATATTTGAAATCTGAGGGCTTCACGGGATGGTACTGTACCTAAAAACGATATTGAATCAGACGGATGGGGCCCGAATATTTGTGTTTCTTTGAATTAAGAGCGAATCCTCGTCCGGAAGCCGCCGGTGCGAGCGAGTCCTTCTGAGAGCAGGCGTAGCGGAACTGACGTGCGCATCCTCGGCGCCCCCAGCGCCCCTGGTGCCTCCGCGCATTCTCCTCGTTCGTTGGCCTTGATTCTTCGCTCGGCGGCTGTTCTCAAAGCGGCTGGTACTAACAATAACAAACGCCACCCGGCTTAGCGCCTGGCTTGGCTTGGCTCCGTCTGTCTTTTGAGGCCAATGAGAATGCGCACGTCACGAGGCGAGCTTTCCACGACGCTCACCAGGGGTCGCGTAAAATTGTATTTTTCGTGTTTATTAAATTTTATACGCCTTCTCACTCAAAAAAACGTCATTTAGAAGTAAAGGACATGCTATGTATGCCATTGCGGCCAAGAATTTCCAACCAAAATTTCGGTTCAGCATCCCTTTAAAAAGGGGCATCCCTGGCGTCTACCCAAACGTCGTGTTTTCCTTTCCGTCGACGTTCTTTTTTTGTGTAACACAATTATATATATGCTGCAGTTACGTGTTCTACTCGCTTCCGAATTTCCTCGATTTTTCGTTCCGACTTCCGCCGCTTGGCATCGGGCGCTCGCGCGTGCGCAGAACGCTTCTCGGAAAAAGTCCATTGTGACCGCCAGCCCGGGGGGAGGGGGGGGGGGGGGGGGGGGGTCTTTAACCTGCATCACGCAGTAGTGATCACACGAACACACTGTTTTACGAGACTCGTCCAGTTCGAAACGGCCAGGGACGAGCAGGAGGTTGAGGCTCAGAAAAACCTTGAAGCGACCTCGCAAACTACCTCGCCACCCCTTGCACGCTGGTAGTAATTCGATCGAACGCCGCCCGAGTGACGCTGGCATATAGTAAGTTAAGTTTGTAATTATCCTGGAGGTTTATTTTCTGGGACGGAGGAATCGCTTCGCAAAAAGCCGACACAACTCGAGGTCGAGGAGCGTTCTACCATACAAGTGCCGTCGGAAGAGGAAAAACGGGGGGTAAGAGGGGTAGCGGGGGGAGGGAGGGGGGGGGGGGGGGGGCTTCAGTTCTTTTCCCCCTTCCAGATATTTCGGACTGTTAAAGAAAACAATACGGGGAAAGAGGGTGTGGTCGAGCATATTTTAATCTGAAATTATTTATGCATATGTATAGCTACTGTCGCTCTTCACTGCATAAAAGATTGCGTAGATGGACATTGTTAGAAACTCGTCAGAAGGCACTACTCGTCACATGCTTAGTGGTTCGGAAGTTCAAATGCTATGTCTTTTCGACCTAATGTACCTGTGCCAATAGTAAAAAAAAAAAAAGAAAAAGAAGAAGAATAAATGCGGGGATAAAAAGCTGGAGAATAAAAAACTATCAAGAATTCGCCGGAAGTGTTGTATTCTTGCATATTCAGAGGTTCAGAACTTCGAAACAAGTTTCTTTTACCAAAATGTGTACAGGCTAAAAGAAACACGTCCCAGAAACGTGAAGCGAAAAAAAAAAAAAGTTTTCTTTTAATGACGTGCTGAACTTGAACACTATTAGAAATCTTCTCCCATGAGTTAATTTATTCCTTAGCGTGAAAAAACAATAAATACATTATTTTGTATTCTGCAGATGGCAATGATATGTACTGTCTGTGGTGTTAATTTAAATGCGGTACCTCAAACAACTTAGACGAAAATATCAAGTTTAGGGCATAATTGCATGTAGATACAGGTTTGGACATTTCTTCGAAACTCACGTTGAATAACAATAATCACATCTTAAGACGGAACTTACCTAGGCTATACATAGATCATTCTTAAAAGAGTATAACATCTTTACCACAAATAGCTTCGGCTACAGCGCGCTTCAAATCTGGCACAAACGATAATCGTCAAAAACCCGTCGTCCTTCCTCGCCCCTTTGGGAATTTATTTCTTTAAAACTAAGCATGCCAGAACATTGAAACGAACGGCATTGTCTTTCGTAAGGAACGCAGCACCGCGTGTAAATAAATGTTCGAGAAAAAAAATTACGAATGTACCTCACTACTTGAATTCAAAGTTCGAAGTTCAACGAACGTCGAACTTTTACCCTAAAGTGCGAAGTTCGTCGATTTCTAACTTTTCAGGATTCGAAAGTTCGAAACTTTTCGAATTCTCTTGATAAATAAGTTTGAAATTCATCGAATTTTTCGGTCAGTCAAGTTCGGAAGTTCGACAAGCATCGAACTTTGCAGCGCAGTAAGTTCGAAAGTTTGAAAAAGATAGAACTTTTTAGCGTAATAAGTTCGAAGATTCGAAATGCGTCGAACTTCTTAGCTTAACAAGTTCGAAAATTCGACTTCCGTCGAATTTTCTGATGTAGACAATTCGAAAAATCGAAATCTTTCGAACCGCTTGATTTGATCATCGAACTTCGATTTGAAAAAAGTTCGCGGCATCCCTAGTTTCGTTTAGACCGGCTGCTTGACTTGTTTGCTGCGATGTTGGGATGTGGTTCGATTTTACCCGCGAAAAGCGATAAAGGTTGTCTTCTGGTTAGAAGCAATTTTACATTTTCTACAAAATTAGCGAGCTACGCGTGCCATCTCGTGCTGGTGCTAGCAGTGTCAAGCCAGCCAGCCATGTACTTCTGGATTCGGCAACCTCTCCCACAGGTAAAGTGCATGAGGGGTCCATATTACATGAGCAAATCACGTTTTAGCGAACAGCGGTTCATTTGAGCGAATCGACGTTTTAGCGAATATAACGGGCGCGCGTTAACTACGTGTCAAAAATACGTCCAACACTTCCTAGGCGTGGTTACGTACTTTGGAAAGTTTTTGCCCTTCTTGTCCGAGAAAACCCGTCGCTTACGTGACTTGACAAAGAACGTGTTTTCGATTGGAGCAGCATCCATGACAATGAATGGAAAAATCTGCAACACTTGCTAACTAGTGCTTTGATACTGACCATTTTTCAATCCAAGAAAAAAGTAAAAAAATTCAACGGCTGCATCAGGTTTTGCTCTAGGGGTGGCACTCTTCCTGCTTTACGAAAAAGATTGGCGACCTGTCGCTTATGCCTCGTGCACGAGTACTTTCCAAATACAAAACTAGATATGCACAAAAAAAAAAAAAAAAAAGAAAAAAAAAAGCCCTGGGAATAACATTTGGCTGTGTCCGTTTCCGGGAGCTTGTCTATGGTCATACAGCACAACTGTCGAAACTAATACTGGATGACCCATTTCTAGTCCCCAGTTCGGAGTCAGTGATTGAATATCTGAAGAACAACATACCAAACATTCTTTACGGTCTGTCCTTCGATGTACAAGACTCATTTTACTCAATCCCACACGAGGAGATGTTCACTGCATTGAGAGAACCCGTATCAGGTAGCTGGGTCATCAATGTGACAGCGGGACATACTGCTTTTAACTAAAATCCAGTAAATGTGGACATGATTTTAATCCTGAATTGGGTAGGAAAAGGGAAACGTAAAAAGGGACAGAAAAAGAACAGGCAACGTCTCTTGAGATGTTGCCTGTTCTTCCTTTTCATACCCCAGTCTCAAGTTTAATAATTGAAAACGAGCGTGTTCGTAAAAAGATACGTATACATGAAAGGATAAAACATCAAGGACGGGGACGGATACAGGTCTTCTTGTAAGAAGTCCTGTTTCCGTCCCTGTCCTCGATGTTATTTTTATCTTTTCATGTATTTGTATATCAAGTTTACCATCATGCTCAACTTACACCACCTCGCCTGCACTGCAAGGGTGTGTGACGGAACCAAATCATGCCGTACCCGGTTCTCAATTAAAGAATAACTGGATAAAGCTTTCCGTTGTTCAGGCGTGCGCTATACACAATTGCATCTTGCCATGTTACAAAAAAAAAAAAAAAATTAATCACTGGCAGAACACTTAAAGCGTGCGAAACTAATATA